GCGCCCTCCGCTCAGGTCCTGCCCCTCTTTTCATTGATGCTGCTCATCCCATTCAGGGAAGGAGTCAGTAGGGGAAGGAGCTGCCAGCCTGCCGCCAAAACCAGACGCATGAAAAGTCCCCTCCTCCCCTCCCCCTGGTGGGTTTCCTGCTCGGCACAGGCTGGCCTGGCTCGGTGGCTGGCACCGCACGTGGCCTCCCTTGGCCAAGCATCCAGGAAAGGAGCGAGAACTCGTCTCCCTTCAGCACATTCCAGGGCCTCGGCGGAGCCAGGGCTGCCGGTGCACAGGGCACTGTGCAGCTTTTTCCTCCCCACTGAAACAATGGAGCGGGGGATTCAGCGGCTGGCCAAAGAGCATTGTGCCCTGATTGAAGGGTTGCCAGGGACGGTGCTTCCTAGAGACACTGAGACAGGGGGGAGACAAAGGGATAAGAAAACAGCTCGTGGAAACAAAAGGTGGCCAAGAAAACTGCTACAGGTGGAGCAGGGAGCTTGAGCCGATGGGCAGGGAGCAGCCGGATGGCAGCTTCTGCTCTGCTGGCGCTGCTGGGAGGGCTGTGGACCCTTTCTCACTGGCTCCCTGGAACCTCACCCCCAGCCCTAGTTGAGGAGGGTCTATGCAGAGAGGGAGGGAGGAAGCAGCTTCCTGGGCTGCTTGAATCAAGATGGAGCGCAGTATCCAGGGACCAGCGCAGCGTGAAAGGCGAGGGCAGTTCCTGAGCTACACTGGGCCACCTACAGCATTTCAGGAGAAGGTGTCAGACTCCAACACCCCTTGCAGGGTGGGTCCTCAGGAACCAGCTACCGTAGCAACCTCCTGCCGGGCGCCAGGGAGATCTAATCAGGCCCTTATTGTCTGCTCTCGAACAAACTGTTTAGCAGATAAAACCAAGCAGATTGTTGGAGGATTAACAAGCAGCGACCAGGCATCTCTCCAGAGCCCTTCACGCAGGGCCCACTAACAAGGAATGGATTCAGTGACGTAGAAATGAGGGTTTCCCTAAACCCATGCAGGCACCAGCCACGCTAAAAGGCTGCCAGGGCAGGACGAAGCAGCAGCCATCCTGCTCCCTGTGAACACTCGGCGTCTGCATCAAACATGGGTGCCAGGCACCTGATCCAGCCAAGCCCGGTGCTCAGGCTAAGTCTGGTCTGAAGCTGTGGCAGGGCCCTGTATTACAGCACTAATGTTAGAGGCTTTAGCTCTGACAGCATGGGTCTTCCCAAAGCCTTCTGGGACCCTTAACTTCCACCAGGGCCTCAGAGCAGATGGGTAGAAGTGACTCCGGTCTAACATCCCCTAGAAAGGCAGCCCCTGTGTTAATGCTCTGGGCTATCAGAGTTGAGCCTGCCTCTGGCTGTTGGAATTAAACCCCCAAGCCTAGAAGTTGGAGCGAGCACTGCCCAGCCACCCCCACAGACATTGCTACTAGCCTTACACACCCCATCTTCGTAGGCCGTCTCCCTAGGGTTACCATATTTAAAAATTTTAAAAAGAGGACACTCCACGGGGCCCTGGCCCCGCCCCTTCCCTGCCCCAACTCTTGGACTCCTCCAGGTGGCCCAGCCGGCTGGTACAAAAGGGAGGATGGCCCCAGAGGGGAATGCCCCAGTATCCTTCTGTCTGCGCTGCACAGAACGATGCATACCCTGCCCCTGCTTCCCGCGCCCTCCGCTCAGGTCCTTCCCCACCTAGTCCCACCCCAACTCCGCCCCTTCCCTGCCCCAACTCCGCCCCTTCACCAAAGTCCCCGCCCCAACTCCACCCCCTCCCCTGAGCGCCCCGCATTCCCCCTCCTCCCTCCCAGCCACGTGAAACAGCTGCCCGAGTGCTACCGGCTTCACGGTTTGCCGTGCAGCCCCCAGACCTCCAAACCCTGCGCCCCTGGCCGGGCGCTTCCCCTCCCGGGCTCCGGCTGCGCTGGGGAAGCGCCCGGCCGGGGGCGCAGGGTCTGGAGGTCTGCGGGCTGCCCGGCAAACCATGAAGCTGGTAGCGCTCGGGCAGCTCGGCTCTCAGCTACACAAAGCTGAGGTGTCTGGGGGGAGCAGCAGTAGCCGCTGCCGCAGGGGAATCCACCTGCAGCTCGCTCTAAGGTAAGCAGGGGACTAGTATTTTCCCGGACATGTTCAGCTTTTTGGCAATTCCCCCCGGACGGGGATTTGAGGACCAAAAAGCCGGACATGTCCGGGAAAATCTGGACGTAAGGTAACCCTACGTCTCCCCCCCACTTATAAACAAACTGTCCTTCCCCCTTCCCTGTGGGCTTTCCTTCTGCCCCCTGGTTAGATGCCATTTCACCAAAGTCAGCACAGCTAGATAGCAGCTCCAATCTCCGTTTCCCACTGCGATCCGGTATCCAGCTTGCCCAGGGAATGTTTTCCCTATTTCTGTCTTGTCAAGTCATCTTCCCACACCCCGCTGGAGGGACCAGGAACCAGTGTGCACGCGAAAGGCATGCGCATGCATGGAGTGTCTGCCTGACCGGCCGTGCACCCACCTGCTCGTTTACAGCGTTCCGGCAGGAAACATAAACTCGTCAAGAAATCAGATAAATTCTGCCACTGCACGAATAACCCCAGCAGCTAGCGGTGGAACAGCACTGCAGCTTGCTCCACCTTGAGCTGGTCTAAGCAGATAGTGGGAGAACAGGCAGCAAAGGGACTTGCCGTTTCGTTGAGCTGTGTACGCATGCAGGGGGAGGTTATCCCTGACTAGTGACAAACCAAACCGGAGCCCTCTGCTTCCCATCACGGACTGTCCCTCTCATGCCCTTCCTAGCAGACCCAGATCCCCATGTCTCTTGAGCCATTGGAAAGGAGTAGCTGGGCTGAGAGGTCACAGCACCTATTCAGTGCTGCCCATCAGGGCTTCCTATCAGAGATGGGAGCGGCTGGCTCATGACTGGGCTAGTGAGGGGGCTGGTCCATAAAACCACTTCTTAGAGATGATGTCTCCATCACAGAGATCAAAGGAGATGGTGCAACTTTCAGGGAAATGGGATCACACTGAACACACTCATTACGGCTGCAAAGGGTGAGTAGTGTAGCCAGCGACCTGTTCCTCCCTGCCTACTCAGGCCAGGACATAGACACGCCTTGGCTGGTACCATGGTGAATCACAGGCTGTACTTCTCAGTCCCAGAGCCAGGAAGTGTCTGTGTGATCACTGAGGGCTGTGTATTCAGTTCTAGCTCCTAAGGGCCTTGATTCTTTTGCACATAAGGAACCACCCCCTCCAGCTCTGAGTTCCAGTTCACCCCAGGAAAGGCTGCCCCCAGCTCCGAGGCCCGACCTGTCATGGGAAAAGCTGCCTGGCTGGGAAGAGCTGGTGGTTTATTTTTGAAAGAGTTGTTTTCTTTCCGGTTTGAATGAAACCTGGTTGGAGGGCTGAGCTGGATCCGGGCCCCAGCGCCTCGCTCAGGGGCAGCTCGTTTCCTCATCATAAAATAACAAACCTGAGCTGTGTGGCTGGAGAGCCCCGGCCCAGAGGGGGTCAGGGGTCAGAGGGGTCGCTGCACACACAGCTCTCTAATTCCTCTTCTCATTCACACCCTGCAGATCTGTCAGCAGCACAGAGCTATAAACAGGACCTGTGGAATCCCTGGCCTAGGGGAGTCTGAGCGGGGAAACAGTCCATCCATTCTCTGTCTCCCCAGGGCCAGAGCCCAAGGTCTTTCACCACTGATGCTAATGTGTATGTGGATGCTGACCTGTAAACTCAAAGAATGGCAACAATCTAATACCCAAAATTGTTGCCATCAGCTGTGTGCCAACAGGATCCCCCCCTCTGCCCATGCATTGCACTGAGAAGAACGACCAACCCCCTCCTCCCTGTCAGACCTTCTCTGGTGCCCTTTCCCAGGCCACCAAGTATGGGCAGCGACCTAATGACTAGGCCAGGGCCCCTTGTGAAACCCAAGAATGGGCTTGTGTGGGCTGTTTATTTATCGATGCTAACGACCACGTGGTGCCCGTCATCACGCTGCCCAGGCACCTTGCAGCGCATTGAGATTAAGCAAAGAAATATTCATTCGTGCCTTCCCAGCCTTCTCCTCCTGACCCCCAGCAAAGCCCATAGCTCTGATCAGAGCATCCTCTGCTGGGGAGAGCAGAGTGCACACTCGGGGAGCTCTCCCGCCCAGCTGCTGCTCTGGTCCCTCCCAAGTTCTCCTCTCATGGCCCCTTGTTTCTTCTTTGGCTCCACGGCTCCTCCTCTGCCCATGAATCTAAACCCCCAAAACTTTTGTTTGAGCTGGGCACGTGCCTTGGACTAGCAGGATTCAGAGTCCCCATCCAGACTGTGATCTCAGGAGATGCTCAAGGGGGAGGCTCCAACAGGCCCCGCTAACCCATGCCCGGCAGTGCCAGGCTCTACGATGGTTTCCTTGGCATGGTGCCTTCTCGCAGTGCATGGGCCATTCCCTCCTGGAGTCTCAAAGAGCCTCACCTGTAGTCAGGAGCAGGGCTGCTGCCCACTTGACTTGACGACAAGCTATATACGCTATGGCCGAAGTTTAGAAGACAGTACAGGTCAGACTGACAGGAGGTGATGCACCCCACAAAATACCTGCCTGGGACAGGGCATCGTGGCAGGGCTTGGATCCCCTGTTCAGCCCTTTATCCCCCTTCTGATGCAGGGCAGGTTGTCACAGATGTGGCCTTCTTCCTTTGGGCAATGGCTTCCATCTGACGCCTTCTGGGGGCCACTCTAGAGAGACGAGATCCTCACCTGGGCCAGCCCCATCCCCAGGCCCCAGTGCAGGGGCGGCAGTGTGCAGAAGGGCTCTGTGGGGCGCCGGTCAGAGTCTGAGATCCACTGGCCTAGGGCAATGCTGAGATGTTAATGGAAATTCTTCGACCACTTGCAGAAGCACTGTCCTAACTCCCCTTTGATTCTGGACAACGGACTGGAAACTCAGTGACCTTCATTCTCCATCCCTCCTCTGCCCCCACTCCGCTCTCTGAGGCATAGATGGGAAATGGAGTGTGTTTCCCTTTAAGAGGCTGGCTCTGGAGCAGTGAGGATTGTCCTACTGCTGTTTCCTTTTAGCCCATGCAAGAGCCCTAAACACATTTCACTCTAGCCCTCCAGCTTGACTCAGGCAGGGAAACCCAGGAGCCTCCTCAACTTTCCCAAGGATACTGACCGACTCCCACGTGTAAGTAGGGGATGATTGAAGACCCCAGAGCTTTTCTGCACAGGGGCTGGGGTGGGAGAGCAGGAATCCTGCTTTCTGTGCCCTTTCCAGTGGGACTGAGTGTGGATCCGCTGGTGGGACAGGGAACATTGGAAAGAGTAAGGGGCTGCCAAGGAATAGTCCCCTGGAAGTTAGTGGCAGGCTGCAGGGACCCTGTTAACTGCATGGAATCTGCCTGCTAACCCTGCCCAGAGTTAGGAGACCCCTTGGGAGTGAGGCTGGTGCTGGAGGTTCTGCTGGGACAGCACAGACAGCACAGGAGTGATCGCCTGGGGCTTAAAACCAATCTATGAGCTGTCTTGAAGGGTGACTCTCGGGGTAAGGTGAATCCCTAGATATAGGGCAAGGGGCTAGCGAATGCTTTGCTCTCCCGGTGGTGAGGCTCTGATAGTACCAGCCCTTGGCACTCTGAACGGTGTCCTTCGGGGTAACTGGATCCCAGGCACGTTACAAAACAAAGTAATGGTTACAAAGGGAAAGACAAATAGCTGGGGGCGAGAGGAAGGAAGCAGGCAGAAGGGGGCGAGGGCTGGTGTGGGTCGAGATGAAACACAAGAGCCAGATAAAGGGAGCCCAAGCTTCAAATGCAGAATCCCGGGAGGCTCAGGTCGGCACTTGGGTGCGTATGTACCTGGGTGTAGCTGGCAGCAGCGGCTTGTTGTGCTGGGACGTCCCACGCTGGAAGGATGGTCCTGGTGGATCTCTGGTTGACCTGGTTTCAGAGGCGTGTAAATGATAATAGGAGCTAGTGGACTATAGAGCAGTGGGGTTCTGCCTGTGGCCTGCTCCATCCTTTGAGGATCTCAGGCCAGTATCTCCCTCCATATAGAGAAACTGAGGCGGAGTGTGGGAAAGTGTCACCCAGGGAGACAGTGTCAGAGGTGCAAATAGAACCCAGGAGTCCTCACTTTGGCCACAAGCCGCCTCACTCCCAGAAATGCGGCTGGGTGTGCGGCTCCTACACTAGGAATAGACACCCCCCCCCCGTACCCTGGGGCACCAGTTGAGGCCGTTGCCTGGGCTGCTGCAGCGGGAGCTGACTGTGTGGCTCTGGCATGCATCACTCTGAAGGGAAAGGGCCGCATGCCTTCGGGCTGCCCCGTCTCTGCACGTCCCCTGCTCTCACATCCCCCGGATGGATGGTGGTGGTTTCAAAGGAGCTTGTAAACCCTGTCTAAACAGGGGGCACCGATGTCAAATTCCTTCCAGGGACCCATTCTAGTGGCAGACTGGAGAGCTGATGAGTACAGGGCGCCCTCTGCTGGCTCTAAGGGAGATTGCAGCCAGCCAAACATTTCTGGAAGATAGGCTCTAGTAAATTCAAACCAGGAATTATTTGGGGGAAGTTGTGCTATGGCCTTTGGTATGCGGGCAGGCAGACCACATGATTGCAAGTATCAGAGGGGTAGCCGTGTTAGTCTGAATCTGTAAAAAGCAACAGAGGGTCCTGTGGCTCCTTTGAGACTAACAGAAGTACTGGGAGCATAAGCTTTCGTGGGTCACGAAAGCTTATGCTCCCAGTACTTCTGTTAGTCTCAAAGGAGCCACAGGATCCTCTGTTGCTTTTCACATGATTGCAGTGGTCCCTGCTGGTCTGAGAATCTATAAATCTCTGGGAGCTGCACCTAGTCGGTCTTGAGCTGGCTTCACTTGATTTGGTTCTCTATGGCCTATGAAGCCCTAAGAAGCGTCTGCCCATAATGCTGGAGGGTCCGAGGAGCTTCCCCTAAAGAGATCTGGGATTGGCAAAACAATTGTTCTCTTCCCTAGTTCAGCTCTAATGTCTCCCACTTGCCGTACGTTAAAGAGCCACCTGCTGAACGTGACAAACCCAGTCAGCTTTGTCCTAGTGATAACATGGCTTAGTCCTAGATGTCAGAGCGGGAGAGTCCCCTGCCAAGCACAGCTCCGGGGCAGGTGTGCTGCTGAGAGGGTGCTCTGCAGGGTTCTGTTCAGCGGCGTTAAAGGACTGAGAGAGCGAAGGAAGCTCCCGGGAGAACTGGGCGAGGAACGGATTTTTTTGGGGGGGTCCTTGGCAATTCCAAAAACGAGAATGAAAACAATGGTTCCGGGGCAGCCAAAATGGGAGGTCCAGTTCCGACCATATCAAAGGGGCCGTGACTGGTTTTAAACGACACCGAAGGGAAGTTTCAAACCAAAAAAAGTCATTTTGATCTGAAAAATCCAAACGTTTCCGCTTTTTCACAACTTTCGTGTGTTTCTGACACAAATTTGCAAAATGTTTCAGTGTCGCTGAATCTGCTGATTTCGATGGAAAATAGTTATGGCCAAAGAGTTTTGCCCAGCACTAACTCCAGGTTCTTCCCTCAGATTTTCAACTAGGGGGTCGCACATACTAGGGCTCTTTGGATTCCTCCATTCCCCCCACAAGTCCCCTATTTGCCACCCTTTCATCCCCTTCTTTTCCAGAGACTCCGCGCAAACCTCCTCACCCCCTCCCTCATGCTAGGAATGCTGTGTGACCCTTTTTACCATACCAGCATCCTCCATTCTCCACACTATGCCAGGGCTCTGTGGGCTCCCTCATTATTGTGTGTGTTACTATAGCATTAAGGATTCCCCATCGTGGACACATTGTGCAAGGTGCTGTACAAACACAGACCAAGAAGACAGTCCCTGCCCCTTCCCTCCTACATGCCAGGGATTCTGTGTGCTCCCAATCCTCCCCTCATATTCCCCTCCCCCATACCACTGTCTCCCATTCCACCCCCCCAATGCCATGGGCCCTGGGTGTCCTCTCATTCCTCCCCCACCCCATGGGCTCTGTGTGCCCCCCATACTAGGGTCCTCCATTCTCCCCCACAAGCCCTGGGCTCCGTATGCAGCACTCAAAAGTTATCACATTTCGCACAGAGAAATGCCACCAAGAGTAGCGTAAGGCCTTGCAAACTCGGTCATTGACAAGAGAAGCTGCCCAGAGGGCGAGAACATCCATGGACTCTCGGAAACACCGGTCGTCTCATCCCGCCCTCACGTGCTTTCCCTGGAAAGCTCAGCGAGTGGCGAGCAGCGGATTGTTGGCATCGAGACAGGAGAGGAAATAAGGGATTGCAATGCTGCTTCGGTGGCTATTCTCCAGACAGGTCCTAGGGTCCTCGGAAGGGCTCAGCACCTGGGGCAGAGATGCAATTGGATTCTAACTGTACCATCAGAGAGCTTAAAGCTCACGTTGGCATTTAGCAAACTGGCTGTGTTTTGCTGCCGGCAGACGTGTGAGGAGTGGGGTGGGAGCCAGGGCCGGCTCCAGGCACCAGGCAACCAAGTATGTGCTTGGGGCGGCACCTGGTAAGGGGTGGCCAATCTTGGGGTGGCTGGGGGAAGCGCGGCGCGGCGCTCGGTGGGGGGGAGTTCCGGCGGGCAGCGCTCGGCAGAGGGTGTTCGGTGGCGCGGCGCTCCGCGGGGGGCAGGGGCTGTTTGCGCGGAGTGGCGCTTGGCGGGGGCTATTTGCGCGGCGCGGTGCTCGGCGGGGGCTGTTCGAGCGGCGCTTGGCGGGGGGGTTCAGCAGCGCAGCCGGGGGGTGTGTGTGTGTGTTCTGGCAGTGCAGCGCTCGGTGGAGGGTGTTCGGTGGCGCGG